GGTTCAGACTCCTATGAGAATCTAAAGCCGGTGCTTATCTGACAGGAGGCAGAGCTCAGGTAACAATGCTTACCCGAAAGCCACTCACCTCCTGCTATGCAGCCCACTTACTAACAGGCTGCAGACTGGTGTGCTGGGATCCCTGCTCTAGAGGGAATAGATGTGTGTGTATGTGTGTGTGTGTGTCCCTTATTCTTTAGGCAGTTGGGCTTCTTCAAGGCAATTCTTTATCTACATCCAGCTCATACCTAAATTCTGGTCATCTGAGCCAGAAGATCCCTGCTACATTTCTTTGTGTTTGTTTAGTAGTCTACTATTTACTAAAAAAATTGTTTTGAATAGATTGCCTTCTTTAAATCTCTCAAGAATCTCATGTTATAGACAGTTTTATTGTTTTCATTTTTAAAAAGAGGAAAATTGGATTTAGTGAGATTAAGTGTTTTTCTCCAAGTTAAGAGCTGTTAAGTGCTAACTGGATCTCAAACTCAGGTCATCTGACTACAAATCCTTGCTTCTGGCCTTACACAACAACTGTAGGATCCTGATTTATATTTCACTTCCAAGCAGAGTATATTATTCATAACAGCTACTCAATAAATAATTATTGGCTTATTTATCACATTTGCATAGGCCAGACCATATGTTTTGGAACTAGTTTAGAAGGCAGGAACTTGGAGATCACATATGAATTTTACCAGGTACACTCCTACCTAATCAAATATAATCAGAAGCCAGAAGGTCTCTGAATTATTCTATGTAAGCATCCTGCTATTAGTGATGCTGTGATTGTCTAAGGGGCAGAGGGGAAAACATACTATAAGCTGATATGAAGGAGATAAAAGTATTAACAAACTGAAATTCCAACTTTGCCCTTCCTTCCAGTAAGTTTAGAGCAGCCTTCCCTACTTAGCCACACCCATCACCTTTCACTTTTTTGCCACTTACCAGAAAGTAAGGATTTCTGTGGTTTTCCCTGGCAGAGTTAAAATAATGGGCAAAGAACAACCCACTCATAGAGGCAGAAGGAAAGGGAGAAGGGTAGAAAGAATGAGAGTCAGAAAGGAGTGGGAGGTTGGAGTCTTACAAAAACAATTTGGAGGAAGCAACTCAGAAGATTGTTCATGGCAAGAATGAGATGTGTTGATAATGCATCTAGCAGGAGAATATAATATGGATAAAATAGTTCTCTGGGATAAGGCAGCAAAAGATTCCAGAGGCTTAACAATACCAAGAATTAGAAAAATTCATGGAGCTTTTAAGACGAATAACTATGAACTAGGTATTTCCATCCCCATCAGATGTTTATTCTGGAGATTTAAATAGATATAGAAATTCCTAGTTGAACTATATTTCTTTGAAAGCAAAGTAAGTTTATAACAACATGGGTGCCCAGATTTAAGAATGTTACATTGAGTCAGGTTAATATATATCAAGTGACTGAAAAATATGAGCTATCGTGCCTTTCTGTTGGTCACAGTATCTGTCATTATAGTACCTTCACAGGGATCACCAGTATTTTCCCTTTCTAAATTGTATTTTTAGTTGTAGCTATTTTCAGTATAAGGGTAGATAAAATTTTGCATGTTGAAGTCAACAATCTCAAGCCAAGACATAATGCCTGAATTAATGCCATTATTCTCAGGTTAAAAAATAATGGTTTCTTAGTTTTGAAATTACAAAGAGTGATGTCATACTTTAAATCTTATATATGAAACCATTTCTTTTCTTATAATTAAACAAAAGGGCAGCATTTATTTTTTCATCCAATTTTGCCTCATGAGCTTTGTCTTTCCACTTCTCCCACTTGTCTTCCCACTCCAAATATTGAGTATGAATGTGGGGCCACTGCTTCAATTATTTCAGTGTCCAATTGTTTGCTTCAGCTGTCATAATGGCTAACTATATGGCAATTTATTGGATTAAAAACACATGACATCAAAATGAATAGAATGTGTCTGATCTGTCATTCACCTATTTACTATACATGACAAACAATTGATCTGTTAGGCCATCAGAATAGCTCTAGCCCACCTTCAAATTCTACTAATCTTATACAGAATAACCTGTTTTACTTAAAAAACACACTGAGCTGAAATTCACTCTTGCTGCCATTTCTGCTCCGCTATTCCAAAAGCCTTTCAATTAAACAACACACACACACACACACACGCACACACACAGAATTTGCCTTAAGAGAGAAATTACTGTATAGCTAAGAGAAAATTATTTTAATTTTATATAAAATTTTAAAAGGGATAATTTATCTCTGTCTTCACTAATCAAATCTCAAATTTGTAAAATGTAGGTACCTTTTCTGTTAGCGATAAGTACATTAGTGGGAGAATTGGATGCCAGTGGTTGGAACTCGAAACATTTTATTTGAATTCTATGTCATTGTATACAGACTCTTCTATGTATTTTAATTCTTATAACTTTTCCAAATGCCAACATTTAGAAATAAAATTGTCCATACTTTAGGTAGGTTTGCAAGTTTATTTATTAAAAGCCCCCAAAATACCTTTTCATCTAGTTTTGTTGTACAATATGAACAAGGTATCCTTGTTTCACTTTCCAAGAAATTTATTTCTGATTCCACCTAACTCAGAAGTAATTCTAAGTACTTTTATAAAATAACAATACACAATTTCCACTAGACTTAGTGTCATAAAATCATTTTTGTTACTGTGAAGTTTCATAACAATTTCGTTTGGACATGAATACTTGTGTGGGGGATATATTGTCCGTGATATCTATAGTCATCTGGTTCAGTTCCAACAGGAAAGGGAAATAATAGAATTGAAGTTCAAGAAAAATCATTAACAGTATAGGAAAAAACAAATAAATTATACATGAGAAGAAAGAAACAGTATTTTACAAGCTACACAAATCACAGTTCTGTTAGACATTCTGTTGCTCTAAAGCTCACAATTGCCTGTAGAATCACAAGCAAACTCCTTAGTAATGTCAAGTGTAAACGCAGCGGTTCACACTTGATTTTCATCGCTCCTCCTCAAGCAACTTATATTCCCCCTCTGTCCCGCTTATATTGGACTCCGTGTCACACCAAAACTCCTGCATTTTTTCCACCTTGATGCTTTTTCTCTTGCCATTTTCCTTTCTAGAATGCAGCAATTCTATCAGACTATTCCTGTCCTTCTCCACTGTAGTGCAGTCGAATGCATCTTTTCTCCTCTATGATGTCTTCCTTGATTCAGCCAGAAAAAATCTCATTGATATATTCTGACAGAATTTTGTGGTTTTCTATTCTTATTCATCATATTCTAGCTTTTATTATGGTTGTGCACCTTACTTTTTTTTAATAGATTCTAGAATCCTTAAGAGTGGAGAAGATACTTTATTCATTCTTGTATCTCCCCTTAATCCTAGCACAATACCATACTGATAGTAGGAGATGAAGAAATATTTGTTTCATTCAACTGAACTGAATTTACACTAACTCCTTAGGGAATCCAATAACCAAGATTAAAAAGTTTTAGTGTATTTAATAGACTTTTCTCTCCTCCCCACCCCTTTAAGTATATTTGGGAAATATAAAACCTCTAAAGAAAAATTAAAGGTTTTAAAATTAGTCATGAGCATATTTCTCAAAATGTTATGATTAAATGTTGAAGTAGATAGAAAGATAAGCTGGAGTCTGCTTGTGTATTCCTAAGAATACACATTGGATGTGATTATGAAAAATTACTAGGTAGATGGCTTTGAGGCTAATAATTTCACAAGTTATTTAAATTGTCTGTCACTTAGAAGTGGCAGACCTTAGTGTTCCTTCCACCTTGACTGAACTTAAGCCTTTTATCTGAAGGAGCTCTTCAATCTGAAGAGACAAAGTTGTATAACTTTCTTAATAACCACCTGGTACCTGGTAGTGAACTGTGTTCTTCCACTGGGACAAATGCCTTCTAATATTTTATATATTCCTGGTCAGTGACTTAAAAAAAAAAAAAAAAAAAAAAAAACCTACCCAATTGCAGTCTGCCATTCAAAAGGAATATTTCTGCAAAGAAAAAGATGTGAAAATGTAGGCATTCAAGTGAAAATTCAATCCTTCACAGTACAGAGCCTCTGCGAAGTCTTTTAAATGACCCTTTTTATCATGGTGCCATGTCTGTACCTTTCTGAATAGTGAAACCTGGTAAGAAAAATAGATGTATGTATACAAGTGGTTGAGTAATGTATTACTCATATGCACTTTGTTCTTTTTGGCAAACTGACCTTATCAAAGGAAAGAAAGCTATACATTGTGACAAACTGAGCTTTACCAGAAAGTCTGAATTAGGAGTGCAAGTCCTCTGTTATTTGGATTAAAATGTGATCGGAAAAAAAAAAAAAAAATCATTATTTAACCTCTTCAGAAGTGGAGATGCTGGAAAATTGACTTCCTTTAAATCAAAATCTAAGCTTTCTTATTACATTTGGACTTAGCAATCAGAGATGATTTGCATTAAAACAATCATATTTTTTCCTCTAAATATTTGTCCACTTTTTGATGTTCAAATAAACAGTATTAGATTGTTTGATTGTCTATACTTTACAGAGGACTATTATAAGAGGTTGGTGATGAAATATTCTTCATTAGTTTCTCCAGGACAAATGCTGTGTCTTATTTTTTACCTCTGTAGATGACATTTAAATAAAAAATTAAATTTTTGAATTAATATTGTATAGTAATTAGAAGGCCTTAATAATTATTTTAGAAGCACGTCCATTCCTGGAACTATTTTAAAAAAATATTTCCTCATGCTCATTTAACCCATTTTAGTGAAAATATTAAATTATTTTAAAAATTAGTGAAGGAATAATGAATCCAATTCATTCCTTTAAAAATAAACAGAGACATGGAACTCAAACTTGCTCATCCACAGATCTTTTTCCTTTGTAATAAGCAACCTCTTTGCAAATGAGTACATAAAGATGGACAAAATATCTGGAATGGATAAAGCCAAAAGGAAAAAAAAAAATTTACATAACACAAAGGCACATAAAACTATTGCTATTTTATTCACAGTAAAAGAGTGTGTGTTGCTGCTGCCCAGTTACTGTGCATGTGAATTCACCAGATCTGGACGTATTTGCCCAATTAATTACTCTGCTGTTCGACAATGATGGGTAATGGTCCAAGCAGCCTGCTCCTCCTCAGATCACCGATGGAATTCATGCACGCATAATGTCCTCTCTTCAGAAAATGATCCCAACAAGCTCTATAATTATTATTATTTTTCTTTTGAAATAAAGGCATCCGTTCAATTATATGTTAAAACAGTTTGTGGGAGAAGAAATGGAAATGAAGCAGGATCTCTCTCTCACTACCTTTCTGGGGAGAAAGCTGGAAGATGAACTTCCCCATTCTACTCTTTCCAGGAGCGAACTTCGGTATTAAAAAAATAATTGCTGATCAAAATTGTTCATCATTACCCTTAATTAGTCTGTTGGTTTTCAGTAGTTTTCTTCATTAATACAGATGAAGGTGTGTTCTTCCACGTTCAACGATACATGCTATCCCTCCGTGCTGGTAAGCTTATGATGTAGCAGATCAAACAAAGAACCCTCGTGTACAAATGCACAGCAGTCCCGGTAAACTGGGCTAATTAGCATTGTAATTAGCTCACGTGATAACTAAAACAAAGTCAGAGTAACACAGGAATCACTTAGAAAGGATATCAAGTGGTGTCGTCCCCCTTCACCCGCCAGCCCTCCCGCCCTTGTTTCTAATGCTGAGTAGAGCCCGGAGTCAACCTCCTTCCCAGCTCCCCACTCCCCAGCTCCCCAGATCCCCACCTCCTGGTGGCGCAAGCCAAGTTCTCTGCCCAGGCCTGGAAGTTAAGGTATGCGCAGGGCTTGCCTGAGGTTGTCGTTGCGATGTTGTTGGGATATCAGTGGTAGTGCACTAAATGTTGCCAGTTAAAGGAAGCTTACAAAAAAGATCTTCCCCCTTTGGCTTTGCTGGAATTGGCTGACACAGTTCGCTTTATAAGCATGAGAACTGGAAGCAAGAATGGAGACTTGGGCTTCCTTTCACGTAGATTTACCAGCTTACTTAGGAGTAAATGCTAAGTATAATTTGCGGAGTTCTATTCACACACTTCTACACCAACGTGACTTATAAAACAGAAATCCCTAAATGGGGCCCACATGCCTAAATGGTTTTCTTTGGCATTTTACAACGTAATAATAATAGCTAAGGCATCTCACTATTTGATGTGGGATTCTTTCTAATTGTATCCAATTATGAAAAAAGTTCCAAGGCTTTATTCAGAGGAAGTGAGGGCAGAGATCATCAATGAAAATCAAAAAGAAAAATGACCACCGTAGGGGGAAAAAAGTCAATAATTGGGATAGCACTAATCCATTCTTTAAATAACTTTGTGTCACTTAAGATTAATGTGTTTTCACTCTTTACTATATTTGATCCTTACAACTACCCCACAAAAGAGATACAGAAAGTATTTTAGTTCCCATTTTACAGAACAGAAAATGACCTCAGTTGTTCTGAGTGACAGAGAATGTAATCAGCAGACGGCATCATCCTCAGGTTTCTAGTTCAGTGAGGCTTCCATTACACCAAACTGACTGTGCTTAAGGCTTTCGTTTCTCTTAAAGTCAGCGATACTGGGGAAGTTGGTTTTTTTTTTTTTTTAATTATTCTTGGTTTAACTTAAACTCAGTCATTATTTCTAATTTAAACTGTCTTATTTTAAATAGTTTTTAGTTAAAGCTATATTTAAGCCCATTTCAGCACAAAAATATCAACCATTATTGAAAAAATTAAATCCATAAGAAAAATATTTTCAAAAAATTCCAATTAGAATCTATATACAAGGTGAGGAAACTGTCAGAGCTGTTAGTAAATGCGAATCATAGGGGCTAATTTTATTATAATACATTTGGCATCATATAAAATCAGTATCTCTGAGTCATGGTACATCGACATCTTTCTAGTGACAAGAATAGGATTTCCTAAAGCTCTCAAATACTGCAGTCTCTTTTTCTAATACCTGTGTTTCATGCATATTTTGGAGAATTTGATGTGTATGATAATTGGTATACTTTAAAAGTATATTCATGTGATTAACATGCATGAAAAGATATCAATTTTGACCTAACTGATGAATCGATGGTCATTAGGTCTATTTTCACCTCAATTTAGTCTGTTTTATAGAATCTGATCAATTAGTTTCCAAAACAGCAGATCCAGTACTATATTAGATGTAGCTTAAGTGGCAGGATTAGACTGTTGATCCTCAGGATTGATGGTGAAAGCTTGGTAAATATTCATAAAATGTTATTTGAGATTTCCTAACGATTAATCTGAAAGAAAGAAATGGATACAATATTAGTAAAACCTTATATTTCTATCCTGTGTAATATATGAATAATTTTAATAGAGATGCAAGTTGTTTTTGGTATTTGCCACAAAATTAAGTATAAATAAGCTTGCTCCAATCATAAAATAAAAATAAGGAACCTAAAGATAGGCATTTGGAGTGTCTATTGGGAATTAGCCGATCCCCACACACACACACACACACACACACACACACACACACAAAAAGGTGTATTCTCTGCTTATACTCTCTTGTCTTCTTTTATCAAAAGATTGTAGGAAACTGCAATTTGGGGTGCATTGGCTATTATTCAATAAGCTTAATTTTGATATAAGAACATAGGAATAAGTGGGCAGAAGGGTAATCAATGGTAAGTGAAGTTAAGACTGATGCAATAGACTTCCCTCCCCAGTCTCCAGATTTAATTTGTGTTAGAAATGGAGAAAGGAAAATTGCAATACAGACTTCTTTTTAATTTTCATCCTGAAAAAATAATTTTGAGCAATGTTTTTACATAATTTTGAAACTTAAATAAAAAAGGCACAGACACAGGCACCAATTTTCAAAACAGGAGAGAAGAGCGTAACCTGGCAGTGTGGAGCAGAATATGATATCCTGTACTACCAAATGAGTGTGAAAGTCACATTTGACAGATCAGTACAATGGAGTAATATTTTTTAGGAAAAAATCAAGGATGAAAGAAAATACAATTATTGCAAGTTGAGATATAAAAATATGTCCATCTCTGTGGGGCAAACTAAAATTACAAAACAGTTCACAAACATAAATACAAAGTAGCAATATTATATATCCAATGTAATCTATTACATTCACTTCATCATACTGCTGTTTTTATTTTATTATATTATTACTGCACTTCTTCATGATAGTGCATTCATTATCTGCGTTTTCTTTTATTCTCTACATCTGGGTTCTAAGGGGGGGGCTTCCTGAACTCGTGAAATTGCATGCAGATTTTAGTGTGTGTGTGCAACAGTATTGTACATTTGTGAGAAGAGGATCCATAGTGTTTGTGAGATAGACTAGGAAGCCTATGACCCCAAGTGATTAAGATCCAATATCCCAATGATTTTTTTCTCTTTAAAATTTCTCTGTGCAGACTTTCAGTGCTTCATACCCCAACAATGCCAGTAACCTCCCAGCTGCCTTCCCACCCTCCTACCTCCTTTCTCCAACTCACCCTCTATAACAAATGCCACCAGATCAATCTTAGTGAAACATCATCTACATCATGTCTCAAATCCACTAAAAAACAAATTAAAAAAAAAAAAACAATGATAGCTTTCATTTTACTTACAAGGTCAAATTCTGACTTCTCATTTTGGCATTCAAATCCATTTCATATCGGGTTCTCCACCACCTCTACTGATAGTAGCCGACATTTACAGAGTGGCGCTAATGTGCCAGGAACTGTGCTACATGTCCTACATCAATGGACTCACAAAATCTCCCAAATTGCTCTGTAAGATGCTTTGAGATTTCAGAGGTACAATCATCAGCTAGTAGGTGATAGATCCAGAATTCAAACCCAGGCAGTTTGACCCTGTATGAGATTTCAGCCATGATTTCTCCGGCTTACTTAATTTACTTCTTGCCAGTATGAACCTTCCTCTCTGGACAGCTGAGAATCCTCACAGTCAACTGAATAAAGCATATTTCTGACCTCAAGCCTTTTTCATACTTCGCCTTCCCCATTCTCCAAGGTTGTACTCAAGTCTCACCTTTAGAATGAATAATGCATTCATTAGCTCTTCTGTCTTGAAACCGTAACATCCATAACATTCATTCAACCACATCCCTGTGTTACTAATATACAATTTTGCTTTACGAATTTTCTCTAACTGGACAGTAAGTGACTGGTGGGCAGGGTTTTCATCTTGCATTTTTTGTTCTCTCATCTTTAGCACATAGATCAGTGCTGTTCATCAAGTTTGCATTTGAAAAATACTTATTGAGGGATTAAATTAACCTGAACTTCTAGAGAGTGTCATGTTTGAAAAATGATACTGTAATTAGTTCTCTAACATTCTATTATGTCTTGATAAAAGCTTCTGTGTATGGTGGCAGGTGGGCTTATGAGCTATTGTTACCATGCTGAAACTGGCTTCCTATGTTGTCTCAGTTTGCCTGGAGTAAATCTGATAGACATTAAAAAGAAACTGCCCAAAGTGAGTGCCCCTGTGTGTGCGTGTAAGGTGGAGTGGAAGGGAATATACATTTTCATGTAAAAATGATACAAAATTACAAGAAATTTTAATGCAAATTTTTCCTTTAAATGAATTTCAGTGCTTACTGGGTTAGCTCACTCTCAAGAAAAGGATCAATTTAGTGAAGAATCTCTCCCTGATACAGAGTCAGAACTTCAGCTCAAAGTAGGTCAAGAAAATTCCAAGGATTCAGATTACAAGGCAGTTCTTGGGAGTGGTTAGACCCTTAGTTCTTTTAATACTTCTTGGAGCTATGTGGAGTAGTACAAGTTTCCAGTGCTGGGGCCAATGTTAGGGTGTCTCTTCTTCATATCTCTTGGGCACTGATCCTTTCTCACCATCAGACACTCCAACATCAACTGACAGAAAGACAAGGAAGAAAGGGATACATCCATATGCTTGAGAAACCAATTCTCTTGGCTAGGCAGAACTGTCTACATTGAAACTCTTTGTTTTCTTCTCTTATATACACAGAACGCCTTGTGTCTAGTGAAAACACATATTACTCATTTTATTATCCAACCTTTAGAAAAGTGTGATATGGAAGATATTTTGTATAATAAATCATATTATAGCTGATCTGAGTAATTATATACATACGAATGTGCAAGTTTATAATAGAATGCTTTTACTATCTTAAAAATCCTTTTGAAATGTCTAAAAGTAACTCATTTTGAAGCATCTAGTCATTCAGTGGATAACACCCAGGGCTTGGATGCATCACTATAAATGACTCAGCTTTCCTTTTAATAGTTTAAAATGCAGGGCTTGGACTAAATCAGGAATCACTTACATGCTCACAGACAGAAGGCAGATAATGAATGCCTGAAGTAGGCTTGGAAGAAATCTCTCTAAGAAGTACTGAGGACTGGGGCAAATTGGAGAAAGTATGCCCTGTCTAAAGAGAATGGCAAATGTTCAGTCCCAGGTGATTTTATCCTGCAAGAAAGAAAACCCACTGTTACAAAATCTTCTGGTTTTTCATGAGAAGCAAGGTTTTTAAAAAATGTGAAATGCTCTGGGTTTTGAATTAAGAAAAAAAATCTGCTTTTGAAAACTGGGCAGGCCAAACAAAGCATATGCGAGAATGGGTTCTGGCCTAGAAGTTACGAGTTTGTTGCTGCAAACTAGATGATCTATGCCTGTTTTTTTGATCCATGTAATGTGTAGTTATATATGCAACTATTTCTCAAGTATACTGTCTCAAAAATGCCTTAAAATTGAAAATATTCAGTTGACAAAAGCGTGGCTGAATTAAGAACATTTCCTCCTAGACTCTCTATTAAAAACACTGGAAGATGGAGGAAT